ACTCGGCGTGGGTGCTGATCAAGCTCCTGGACGACAACGACAACGCGCCGCAGCTCTCCACGGAGCTCGTCAACCTCACGCTCCCCGAGGACGTCCCCGTCGGCCGCTCGCTCGCCACCTTCACGGCCTCCGACAGGGACCAGGTAGGGAGCGAATAAAGGTCCTTTGCGTGATATAGAATATGACATGTCCATTTGCACAAGCCGTCCTCCTTCATATAGCTGAAAGTATCCGTTTCCTTCGCCGACGCCGGTGCCAGGGCGGCAAGGGCGAGGTGCACTACGCGATAGCGCCCTCGAGCGACCCCGGGCGGCGGTTCGCCGTGGACAGCACGGGCCGCGTGCGCCTGCAGCGCGGGCTGGACCGCGAGGCGTCGCCGCACCACACCGTCCTCGTGCTGGCCATGGACCGGGGTGAGCCGCCCCGCACGTCCACCGCCACGCTCCTCATCACGCTCTCCGACATCAACGACAACGCGCCGCACGTGGCCAGCCCCGACGGCATCTTCGTGACGGAGAACAGCGGGCCGCAGCACGTGGCCGACCTCACCCTCGACGACCCCGACGACTGGAGCCTCGGCCACGGCCCGCCCTTCTCGGTGACGCTCGACTCCCACGCGCCGAGGCACATCAAGGAAACCTTCGCCGTCGACTTCGACCAGAGTAAGTGCCTTCCGGAAGCCCTTGTTGTCGATTCCCTTCGCTGGCGGCTTCCTCCGTAGGACCAAGCGTCCATGACTCTCTTTGCAAATACGTGACGTTGCTCAGAATCCCCTCAAGTCTTCCCATGAATTGATCTGATGGTCAGCGAGGGTTTCAGTGCAGCTTCTGGCCATGCTATTCGTCATGTGGGTTATGAAATATCTGAAGAGTAAGTAGCAAACGGTAGTAGGGCAGGAGGTTGTCAAGGGTATGGTATACAGAGATGGGATTTCTGACGTACCTCAGGATGGTGATCTTTGCCCTTTGTTAATTGTGCTTGTATATAAAACGGAACACTGCCACAAGAGAAATGTTCATATTATTAACGTCACTGCCTTTGTACTGTTATTCTTTGCTTACACATGATACGCGACTTGTTCTTGAAAGGAATTTAGCTTTAAATTCGGACACACCTAAGAGTACTTGAATGAATATGTGTCTAGAATCAGCGTTTGATCGAAAACACGGGACATGTAGTTGATTCTAAGCAATATTTAAACCCTATTATTCAGTCCAGAACTTTTATTCTCGTACACTGATCTTAAAGAAGAGGAAGAAAAAAAAAAACAAACAATTCTGCAAAAGATATAATCCGAAAAGTATTTTGCATTCTGAGCTTTTTGTATTTTTTTGCGCTTTGTCTTTGTAACTCTTTCAATTTAAAGCTATTATTTCGCTGCCGAGTAATAGCCAAAAAAACATGAATTCATAGTTAGATAGATAAGAAGAGTGATAGAAACATACATTCATAGATGAAAAGATAAACATACAGACAGACATAGATAGATACAGATATATTCGTAGTTCTGGATAAAAGCCAACTCATTAACATGCACCAATCCACAAAACGCTTGCCTTGCAAACACAACAAGTATTAGCCAAGAAAGGAAAATATTCCCAAAATATGTTTGTTTCTCCCGAGCAAATAGTTTCCCCTGAACCTCAATTGTTTGCTCGGAGTGGTTCCGAAGCGAGCGAGATCTCTAAATCCAGCATTGATCCCGGACGCAAAACCAATAGCATTAAAGTTGCTTGCAAATAGACAGATATCAATGCATGCACGGGACTAGCCCGCTATGCCACCCGCAGGGGGGCTTTGCCTGCACCCGTTTTTTTTTTTTCCTTGGGGGGCCCTTTTGGGCCCTATTTTTTCGACGTGCCTTGTGTGTCTGTTGCTTGCGCCGCGGCCGGTTGGCGTTCCGCTCGCTCTTTGTCTCCCTGCTGCCACCTCCCCTGTCCCTGTTCTGTTCTTGTTTTTCCCTCCTCGCCGGCTGCCTGTTGCCGTTTCCCTCCTTGCCCCTCCCCCGCCCCCCTGGTTATCTCTCGCTCCCTCTGGCCCTTTGCGTTATTCTTCTTCTTTTTTTTTCTCCGGCCCGTCCCTCCCCCCTCGTTCTCATCCTCACCCTCCCTGCTGTTCTTCCTCTTTTTCTCTCCTCCTCTCCTGCTTTCTTCTTCTTCCCTTTTGTTTCTCTTCTTACTCTTATCTATCTCCTTTTCTTCTTGTTCTTTATCTTGTTTTATTTCTTCTTCTTATTTCTTCTTTTCTCCTTCTTCTTTCTCCTTCTCCTCTTCTCTTTCTGCTTTTTCTCGTTGTTCTTCTTGTTGTTGTTTTTCTGCTCCTGCTGCTGATCCTTTTTCCTCTTCCTTGCTCTCCTTCTTGTTGTATTTCTTTTTTCCTTCTCCTTCTTCTTGCCTTTCTATCTTCTCCTTCTCCTGTTTCTTCTCTTCTCTTTTCCTTTTGTCCTTGTGTCTCCTTCGTCTCCTTCCCTGTCCTCTCCTCCTATCTCCTTTCCTTCTCTTTCTTCTTGTTCCTTCTTCTTCTTCCTTCTCTTTTCTCTTGTTCTTCTTCTTATTATTGTTCTTCTTCTTCTTTTCTTCTTCTTTCTTCTTCTTCTTCTTTTATTCTTTATTCTTCTTTTCTTCTTGCTCTCCTCTTCCTCTTCTTTCCTGGGAGGTGGGAGCTCCTCCCCTACTGCTCGGATTCTCTGCTCTCTGCTCCCCTTCTCGCCCTCTCCTGCTCCTGTCCTCCTGCTCGCCTCTGCTCCTTCCTGAACTCCACTTCCCGCTGCTCTCTCCTGCTGCTGCCTCCTCCTCCTCCTGCCCCCTCCTACTCCTTCCTCCCCCCACTGATCCTCCGCTCTACATACAGTAAGGAATATAACTCGTCCTCACTACTAGGTCCTCTCCTGCCAACAACTACCGTCGAAATACGCACGTACGTCGTACGATTGTAACGTACGTCGCCGTCACATGCTTCCTCCTGCTTTAAGATCCTCGGGTCCTTGATTCTTACATCCTTTTCCTCATCTTTCACTATCCTAGCAATACAGTGAGGCGCATTCCATATTCGCCAATAATAAATTCACACCATCTCTCATTTCGTCTTTCAACATCCACACCTTCCGAATGTCACCACCACCCCACCATCCACGACCTGAAACAAAGCGAAGCCCATTTCCCTTTCCCCTTTACCCAGCGAAGGCGCCGAAACGAAGAGCGGGGAAAAAAAAGAAAAAAAGAGATGAGCACAGTAAAGTTGCACGTCCCTCCAAGACGCCCACATAGGGCTACGCAGAGAACCAGTCAAGCCGCCACTCGCCACTCCTGCCGTTGAGTCAGATACGGCAGAACTGGCACCGGGACCAATCCCAGGAAAAACTCCGCCCCACAAATCCCACAACTAGCCAAAAAGGATGGAAAAACCGACACCTACCCAATACCCTCAAACTGACAGCCGGACGCTAAGAACATCGATGACGTAAATCACATCAGAGATGAGAAGTGAGTAGTGAAGACGGGGCCAAGGATAGGAATGGAAGAGCGCAAAAGCGCAGAGCACCTCGGCAGAGTGGATATAGGAGCGAGGAGTGGAAGAATGAAGGAGAGAGGAAGCGGAAATATAGAGAAACAAAAAAAAAACCCAAAAAAAAAACAAACAAAAAAAAAAAAAAAAAACAAAACAACCAAAAAAACAAAAACAGAAAAAAAGGTGGGCGGTTGGGAGAAGGGAGGGAATTTTTGATGAAGGCGATGCGTGGAGGAATTGGGGTGGTGTGGTGTGAGATGGAAATGAGTGGATGGAAAGTTTGTGGAGCTTTTTACTCTTGGGGTCTGTATGCTTTAACTGTGAATGCCTGTCTGACGGTTGTCTTGATTCAAAATTCTTCTTTTTTTCGCATTTTGTAATATCATGGCAATTTTGCCCGTTCCTCCTGCTAATCGTTATTTCTCTCCCTGGTCTTCCTCTCCTCACCTCTCCCCTCTTTGCCCTTCATCTCCATCCCAATCTTCCTCCTCCCTCCCTTTTGCCCTCTTCCTGCCCCATCTCCACCTCCCTCCCCGTGCCAACGCAAGGCCACTCCCTCTCCCCTCTGCCCCTCTCTCTCCCCTCTCCCCTCCTCTCCCCTCCAACCTCCTCCTCAAAAAGGGCGAGACGGAAGCGCTCCCGCTGGGTCGCGGGCTCTACTATAGTGGTACGACCCGACCACCGGACTGGGACGTGGCCGACAAGACGTGGTCGTGGCGCACGCACGAGAAGCACCCGCTCTTCACCCTGACGGAACCGACGGGGAACTCACCATGAGCGGCCACGCGAGGGACTCCACGTAAGTTCGTTATGCCTCCTGGACTCTCTCTTAGTTGCGTTACGTGCAGGTCCCGGGCCAGCTGAGTCTACGGTGGCTCGGGACGGCTTGATGGTGTAAACAAGTGCATGGTGGTCTTTAAGAACATTTCTTGGACGCCAGGAATATCATAGGTTCTATTTGCTCGTGAAAAGAAGAAGAAGAAGAAGAAAAAGAACAGTAACTTGAGCTAAGAAGACTTGAGTGTGGTCTCCCCAAGTTCCCTCAGAGTCGCGCAAGATACCCGGACCAAACGGAAGGTAAATACTTGAGCTCGGGTTAGGTCCCAGAGTCAGGCGGGGCTGTCGGAAATATCCTCGGCTTTGTCTGAATCTGGACAGAATCCTAGATCAGAGAATTGTCAACCCTTTGGCCAGGTTAGGTCGCACCTATATACGGGAAACTAAGGGTGTGTGTGATCTAAAATGTTTTTTTAATTTGTCCCCGCAATTTCGTAAACATTCTTAGAGCGCGAATGGTGCATACTTGGTGCTGCGTAAATAATATCCTATATGTCAAGACCCGCGCTGCGAAGAAATCAAAACCGATTGAGCATATACTTCGATCCACCAATCTTTACACGGAAATGTTATATGCTCCTTTTATACAAAACTCACTACATCTATCAAACAAGATTGCATCACTGATAGGTACACACACCAAGAAGGTAAAAAAA